CTTTTTTCATTTAATCTACTATATGATATTTTATATATAACTTTCACTTATTTTTACTTGTATGTATTATTGTATTTTTATTATTATTGTGGGGTATCTATATAGTTTTCTCATCTGGTTGGGTTCTATAAATATATAATTATAAATGAAAATGAAAAGATAAATATACATATATATCAATAACATAAAATAAATATAAAAATACATAAATAAATAAAAGCCCAACCAGATGGAGGCCCTCGGCAGGGGAGACCAAACGGCCGAGGGTTAGGGGGAAAGGGAAAGAAACCGGCGGACGATGCGGGCGGTATCGAGGAGCACCGCCTTCTGCATTTGAGCCCGGAGCGGTCCGCCACGTAGTCCCAGCCGCCTCAGATGACCCGAGAGGCTGACTGGGATTAGCCCGTTTGCAGAGACGACTACAGGATTATTATTATGGGGTATCTATATAGTTTTCTCATCTGGTTGGGTTCTATAAATATATAATTATAAATGAAAATGAAAAAATAAATATACATAAATATCAATAACATAAAATAAATATAAAAGTACATAAATAAATAAAAGCCCAACCAGATGGAGGCCCTCGGCAGGGAAGACCAAACGGCCGAGGGTTAGGGGGAAAGGGAAAGAAACCGGCGGACGATGCGGGCGGTATCGAGGAGCACCGCCTTCTGCATTTGAACCTGGAGCGGTCCGCCACGTAGTCCCAGCCGCCTCAGATGACCCGAGAGGCTGACTGGGATTAGCCCGTTTGCAGAGACGACTACAGGAATAATTTCGGTCGGCAGACCACCCCACATGTCGGTCACCTCGTGAGCCAGGTCCAGATATTTTGTTTGCTTGTCTGTTTCGGCTTTCACGAGGTTCTCGTCATACGGAATGGTAATGTCGACCAAAAATATCCTTGACTGTGCCCGGTCCATCAGCACAATATCAGGCTTATTCGCAAGAATAGTCCTGTCTGTGATGATAGCCCGGTCCCAATAGAGCCTGGCGCGATCATTTTCGAGCACGGCTTCCGGCAAGTACTTGTAGTACGGCAATTTCCGGTCCACGAGACCGTATTTCAGAGCGAGCTCCTGGTGTAGAATTCTGGCTACTAGGTTGTGCCTGTGCAAGTACTCAGAGTTAGAAAGCGCCGAACAACCGGAGATAACATGCCTAAGTGACTCACCGGGATGGCGACAAGCTCGACAGATGTCGACGGTGCCATCCTTTAGGATGTATCTCCGATAGTTGTTGGTCTTAATAACCTGATCCTGTATTGCACAGACAAAACCCTCGGTTTCCCCCGAAGAGGTCACCGAAACGTAGCCAGTGGAGGGAGGCTACTGTGTCTACGAAAGGCTCATGTAGAGCCTTGTAGAACCTCCCGTGGAGCTCCTTCTCCTTCCATACGGTCTCTCGGTCGGAAATGCTCTGCACTGCCGGGTCTTGCCATTGCTCGTTGGCTAAGGATAGAGGGGTAAGTCCTTTATCACAAGAAATGACGTCCATATAGAATGGATCATCCGATCTCGCCAGGAAGTACTGACGGAGACTGCACACTTCGCGATTATGCATGGTGAGCGCGCTCAGAAAGCCACGCCCACCATACATTCGCGGCAAGTACAGCCTCATTACCGACGATCTCGGATGATGCATCCTATGGGACGTCATGGTAGTGCGGACTTTTCTATCCAGGGCGTTAAGCTCAGTCTGAGTCCACCTGAGTATGCCAAAGGTATACATGAGGACAGGCATGACCCAGCCGTTATATGCGTGTGTCTTATTCACACCGGACAAAAGGCTGTTAAGCACTTTGGTCAAGCGTGCATAAAACACGTCGCAAACTGACTGTTTCATACCAGCCTCATCGATACCGATGTTCTGTGACTTACCCAGGTATCGGTATGTTTCAGCCTCGGAAAGGGTCCTTAAGTTGACGGGCATAGACAAGTCTATGCCCTCAGAGTTAGCAACCCTTCCCCTTTCAACATGGAGGACCGCACACTTATCCGTCCCCAGCTCCATTCCAATGGAACTGCTAAATTCACAAGTGATGTTTAGCAGTTCCATAAGATGGGAGCGACTGGAGGCGAATAACTTGAGGTCATCCATATAGAAAAGGTGGGTCACTTTTGTCCCTCCTCTCCGTAGCTGAAATCCCCTCCCGGAGCCCTCCAGTAAGGTACTGAGAGGGTTAAGAGAGAGGCAGAACCAGATTGGACTCAGACAATCGCCCTGGAAGATACCCCTTCTTATCCTTATGTGGTTCTCCGCAGCCGTCATCCGCTCGCCCAGATGACAAAGGATCGTACTCCACTGCCCCATACACTGCTCGAGGAAGTCTCTAACTGTACAGTCAATCTGGTACAGCTCGAGGACCCTCTTTAGCCATGTATGGGGCACCGAGTCGAACGCCTTTCTGTAGTCTATCCAGGCGGCAGAGAAGTTCCGACGGTTGCGTTTCACCACTTTGCCTATGACCGCGTCAATGAGGAGTGGTTCCTTAGTTCCACGACCACCGCCCCGACATCCATTTTGAGCGCGTGACATCACCTGGTTTAGCTCCAGGTGACGAGTGATTCTCGCGCTCAAAATGGATGTCAGTGTCTTATATATGGTGGGTAGACACGTGATGGGGCGGTATTTGCTCGGGTCTGTGGTATCTTGATCTTTAGGAACCAAGTGAGTGATCCCAGTAGTGAAGAGGCTCGGGAGTGACTTCTGGTCGAGAGCCTCTTGAAACTGTCGGGCGAGCACAGCGTGACACACTACGAACCCCTTCAGCCAGTAATGATGCAGCCCGTCGAGCCCCGGACTTTTCCAGTTCGGGGCCCTACGGACCGCCTCAGCCACGTCTTCTGGCGTTATGGTGATGGGGTCCATAGGCGTAACACTCGCACCCTGGCTCGCCACAACTTCCATCCAAGGGCCCTCACTGTGATTTACGGGCTCTGACCACAGGCCACGCCAGAATGCGATAATGTCAGCCTGATCCGGTCCTTGGCCCGCTACACATACCTTTGGTCGCTCCAATAATTTATAGAGCCTCTTCTGATCACTCTGGAAGAGACGATTCTGGTTGAACCGCCTTGACCCCTCGGAAAATCGTCGAATCCGCTTCCCCCAAGCAGCGATCTTTTGCTTCAGGTCGTCTATGCGCTCCGTTAGTTTCTGCGTGATATCCGGCTGGGACAAACTGATATTTGTCCCAGCAAACGCCATCCTAACGGTGCGCATAATCCTCGGTCTATTATTACCCGACCTGAAGCTTGTCAGTCTGCCGATAAGGGCCCTTGCCTTTGCGATACGGTCCTCGATTCTTTTCCTCCAGGCTGGGATGGCGTTACTTTGTGTAGTAGCGCGTCCAGCCATGGGAAGTTTGGCGCCAATAATACGGCAAACTGCCACTGCGGCGCCAAAGAGAATCGAGTCCGTCTCGCAAAGGTCCCGGCTGGCTTCCAAATAGGTCACCAGCATTGGGTTAAGAGCCCTCACGACAGCCCGATTTCGCTTGCTTAAGGGTATGCGGGGAAGTCGCGGTCGATTTTCGAGAGGGGTGCTGCGCGTTTCCAAAATCGCCTCTTCCAATATACTCCTCATTTGCTCTAGTTCGTGGGAGACTATTTCATCGTCGTTCGAATCAACCACAACTGGAAGATCCATGGCGGCTTCCACGTGTGGATGCTGGTCTGTCGAATGTGGAGCTGCATCTCCAGCCATAGCCGATTCATTCGACGACGGAATAGCCTCACGTCGTAGTCGTTCGAGTTCGGCATCATCAAATATTTTCGAGCGCATGATGTACCGAACTCGGTCTGCCAGGTTTTGTTCCGTGACGGGGATAGACGGCTCCAGCTCAGCAAAAAAGCAATGCATCCGAGACCTATACGCTATTCCCACAGTTTCTTCCCCTTTCGCCCTATAGTACGCCCGCAATGCGTTTTCGTTCATGGATTTTGTCCAACGCATGCGACGTGCTCCACCAGCGGCGGGTGCCGCTTGCTGGGTCCGAGAAGACCCAGCCGACACCAAGCCTTCTGGTGGGGATGATGGATGCGAGGGGCTGCTAGGTGATCGTGCAGCTCCTCGCGCTCGGCTGGCGGTCCGCATGCTGCCGCGTCCAGCGCCAGCTCCAGACACGCCCCGGCGACCCCCAGGCAGCGGCCCTATGCGCGTTCCTTTTTGTGTTTCTTCCATCATCCATTTTATGGGCGCCAAATAACGGGAGACGCCCAAGCCCGGCACCGTTTCGTGGTTGGGTCATATGCACAAACGGACCTTTGCATCTACAATTTTGCCTAGGCACGGCGCTCACACCTCTTGGCAGGATGCTGACTGACTGCGCCGACGTCGCAGTTTTGTCACATAACTGTTACGTCAGCGGGCGATGGGGTCGTCACTTCCCTACGCCTTAGGATTATTATTATTATTATTATTTTGTATGCCCCCCCTCTATTTGTAACGTTTGTTTGCAACATTCCTCTACGCAAAGGTTGTCTGGAAGAAATCACTTTCAATGATAAGACCGCCTATTGTACATACTTTAATTAGTTTTAACTATATTGATGTTTCTGTATTGTGGTGTACAAAAAAGAATAAATAAATAAATAAATAACACAATTGTAACTCTAATTACAGACTACCACAAAATAAACCAAATACTACAAGGTTCTGTGTTTATGTTGTAACAAAAAAGAGTAATAATAATAAAGTTTATATTCTACAAAAGACCACTGCTAAACATGGGCCTCCCTAACAGACTGCCTCATAGACTGCCTCATAGACTGCCTCATGGAAGGATTTTGCTATAGTTGCCACACTAGGCGATCGGGTGCCAACCCGATCGCCTAGTGTGGCTGTGAAGAACTGCAGTTTTTATTATTTTAAGTTGTTTACAGGAAGGTGCTGCTGCCCAACTCCTGTTTAATTTTCCCTCTGTCGCCTTTCACGACACCCTAGGGACGTTATGGGGATGTAGATATTCTTACACCGCCACTACACGGTTAATTACTTGCTTACAAAGTCGTAATAAGTGACTAATGATATATTTGTGTCGGTCACTGTAATGATATATTTGTGACCGACATAGCCCAACGGATTAGTAAGCTGAAGTGGCAATGGGCCGGCCATATAGCTCGAAGAACCGATAACCGATGGGGAAGAAAGGTTCTCGAGTGGCAGCCTCGTACCGGTAGGCGTAGTGTAGGGCGACCCCCCACTAGATGGAGTGACGACCTGGTAAGATATGCAGGAAGTCGATGGATGCAGGTGGCTCAGGACCGTGCTTTGTGGCATTACTTGGGGGAGGCCTATGTTCAGCAGTGGACTTGTGAAGGGCTGTAATGATGATGATGATGATGATATATTTGTGAGGGTTTGTGATTGCATAGACGATGAGACGGTACCCGTTACTTCAATGACAATTTTCCTTCTCATCATCATCATCATCATTACAGCCTTTCACAAGTCCACTGCTGAACATAGGCCTTTTCCTTCTAAACCCATATTTTTAGCTTACTACATAGATCGAGTAGCTTGCTTTTTTTTGAACTCTTCTGTTTTCTTCCTCACACATTACTGTCACTTTTGTAACATTACTAGCATACAGCATAGACAGAAAGGATGGACTAAGCGTTAGCCTCACAAAAGTGACCATTCTATAGAAAGAGACAAAGCGACTGTGCTTCCAATACCTGTCACTATGACATGATTGTTCTTACAGTTCTACATGCAGTACACAACAATACACTCCCGACCACCGGTGACATGGACCAATCAGAATATATATATGGCGCCCCGGCTTTACCTAGATAGGATCTAAAAATGTGGCGTTGTTTAGATTAAAGATAATCAAAGACCATTTGTTTTATCACATTTTCTTTAATATTCAAGTTTTTTCGAATTTGGATCCCTCCTGGCATTGCACTCTATCTGTTCGTAAAAGTTTATCACAATCGGTTCACCTTCTGAAAATTAGAATGGACACACGGACGGGCAGACGAACAGACAATTTTTTTTTATTCGAACGTAATATAAGCCATTAAATATTACAGAGAGACACGTTACATTTATTTATAAGTAGGTAATGAAGAGAGTAAGATCTGAATACGTTGAAACATATACAAAACGCTCTAACGACTATATTAAAGTATAACAAGCGCCAGACAAATAATAATTTCATATCACATCGCTGAACGTACTCCGCTAACTAATGCACACTCGCATTGAAGCCAGCTCTGCACTTTTACGCAATGTTGGCTCTTTGTTAATTAATGTTAGCTTGAATACGGACATGGCTTTCCGCATTGCGCTGTAGCAAGTTTACTTATCACGAACAAACTGCGGTGTCCGTAACATATTGAAAAGGTTAGCTTTGTACGTGGTAGAGCCACGCTGCAGCTATATGGTGGAAGCACGAATGGCCGACTCGACCGGGGAAGGCCCACGCTCTCATAGAATAAATACCAGCGTAAAATAGAAACTCAATGCTGCTGTTTCATATGGTGAGTGCAGAGAACTGGAGACATCTTTTACTTGAAACGAGGCATTCCACCGTAGTCCTCATCCTCCCTTAATCGAGTGTAATTGTAGATGCGTATGGACCACAGTATCCAATTACCATCAGGTGGACCGTGTTCTCGTTTGTTTGTCGATCCTATGAATAAGTGCAAATTGAGTTTTTAATGTTTATTATTCATTGCCTTATTTATTTATTTATTCAGCCACACTTATCACTAAAATTACAGGCTCTAATAGCCTTACATGCGCTAATGTAAACTTTTTAATTATCATAAACATATTATAAATAATAAAAAGAGTTAAGATGGTTAGCGCTCGCTGTAAATTGCACAGTAAGCGAGCAACCCATGTTCGATCCCCGCCGGCACTAATGAAACGAATAGCAAACTGTACACCTTGTGTTTTATTTTGTAAATAAACAACAAAATGACCGCAATAACGTAATCCCTAATTTTCTCCCGAATTTCTCTAGTCAATACTTGGTTTCCATACGACAAATAAGAGATTGCCTACTAAATAACCAATATAAAATAGAAAATTGAAATCAAAACTACAGTCCAATGCATACCTAAAACTAAGTACCTACACTAACAAAATAAATTAAATTGCGTAAGTGTCTATCTATATTTTGTCTCAACCTGCAAACAAATGAAAAATATAACTAAGCTCAACCTAGGAAAGTTTTATACCTTTAAGGTTAAGTGGGCGCCAAAAGCAGATTTTTCACGCTTTACAGGTGCGCAGAAAATCAATTTTTTTGTCATTAAAAACTATGAATTCCATTTTTTTAATTCATTATAAAAGTTAAAAACTTTCTTAGTGAATTATGGTGGCTAAAACACGATTGACACATTTTGACTCGATAGAAAAAGATCGCAAAGTTTCCTCAAATCTACAATTTTAGGTAAGTCCACTAAGTGAAAAAACAGTTCCATTCGAATGTAATGAAATCAATTTCAATTAAATTTAGGCTGTATGTTCACCAGTAGATACGCGAGTGAATTATGGGTTTATTTTTCAATAAAAGAATATGAGCCATGGTAGCTCAGATGCTTAACGCTCTCTATAAATATAACAGAACGCGAGTAACCCGGGTTCGATCCCCACCAGCCCCAATGAAATTGTTAATCGCAATTTTAAGTGCTGATTTATAACGTGCTTGGCGGTGAAGGACATCTTAAGAAAACCCGCATGTCTAAGGAATAAGAAAAAATATTTCAAAGACGTGAAATTCACCAACACGCATTGGGGCAGCGCTGCGGACACTTCCTTGCCCTAAAACCCTCTCAGAAATGAGGGAAGGCTGTGCCCAGCAGTGGGACATATATAGGCTGTACCTTTCCTTTTATTTTACTTACTTTATAGTCATAATCGGCTGCAGTGATATAATTACGTAGCGGCATAAGCTTTACAAATCGGCAATTGCGCTCCAAACAATAAAAACTTTTTCTGCCGTTTGACGCGAGTCATCTGAAGATAAAATATCCCCTTTTAATGGTGGTGCTACGACATATCGTTTTACCGCGTAAGGATTATATTTTAAATATATTAGTCGATTATCACCACAAATTGAATTGTCACGCTAGCCCTGAAACTTAATTCGCAATCGGATGCATAAATGTATCTCTTGTTTTCGAGTTCATCCCAGGCCGTCATTCTCAGAAATGGCGAACCATAGGTCCTGTCGTGTAACACAATCCGCAAAGCCCTTTATGCACACGGGTTTAGATTTTGCTGATCCGTCAAAGGTTACACTTGCTCGTAGACGTGGTGTAAGATCCACGAAGGCGTATGTTTGTATAAGCATTTTCGTATGTTTGACTACTCGCGCTATACACATAGAGCTCGCTGGTGATCTAAGCACGGTTAGCTTCATGGGTGCATTTAAAAGCCCATAGGTAGAATGTACTCAGATAATAGTACATACTATATCGGAGAAAAACGTATTTTATCGGAGTTACACGGGTTTTTAACTTCTAAATATTATAATTCGGAGTTCGGACATGTTATAGCCGAAAACCGCGTTGAATGGTCGCTTGACGTCCCCGCAGCAAGTCATTTTGGGGGAAATTAGGAGACCAATATTAAAAGTGTAAAGAGTCATTTATATCGCGTGATTGGAGATCAAATTTTATCTCTTGAAGGATTAAGCAAGTACTCGCACAGATCGAGTGCGTTATGAATAGCCGCCCTTTATGACATATGCTTTCCAGTGACCCCTCGGAGCTACTAGCTATATTCCCGGCACATTTTTTAAATCTTAAGTCTTTGAAGTACCTATCTACCCGCTATAGATATAGACGATGATAAACTCCATGTGCTTTCACATCGTACCGTATTGGACAAGCTTGTGCAGTCGTTTTGGAAGCGTTGGAGGACGGAATATCTGCATACGTTGCGGTCACGGCAGTAATGGTATACACCAGAAACCCATTAACGGTCGAACCCGTAGTTATTCTCACTAAAGAGAACGCGTTGCCTCTTCATTAATCATTAGGAATCGTTGAAGAGGTTTTTTCTGGATCCGATGGAGTAACGAGGATAGCTCGTGTTAAGAACGCGACCGGATCATATTTGCGTCCTGTTGTACGTCTCAGTTGTACCTAACCAATAATTTTCGAATTGCTTTTCTAGGTTATGTTAGTAGTTTAAATTAGGTTTTAGTAGTAGTTTCGTAAGTTTTTTAAGGAAACCCTTCAAGTCCGAGGGGGGGAGTCAGGGTTAACCACGGCGGGGGGTCGCACCAACGCACACCCTTTCATTTCGTATTTGTTGACGTATTTTCCTAGAAGTCTTTCAGAAGCTCTTTAATTCCGTCTTCCATGGTGGCAATACTCCGGAGGCGTGGAGCAGAAGTGCGGTGGTCTTGTTCTTCAAGAAAGGCGACAACGCTCTCTTGAAGAACTACAGACCGATTTCCCTTCTGAGCCGCGTCTACATGCTGTTTTCGAGAGTCATTACGAATCGTCTCGCACGCAGACTCGACGACTTCCAGCCTCCCGAACAAGCCGGTTTCCGAAAAGGCTTCAGTACCATAGACCACATACATACCCTGCGGCAGATTGTACAGAAGACCGAAGAGTACAATCTGCCACTTTGCCTGGCGTATGTGGACTATGAGAAAGCCTTTGATTCCGTCGAAATTTGGGCGGTGCTACAGGTGCTACAGTCCCTTCAGCGGTGGTAAGTTAACTGTCGTATATATCGAAGTGCTGAAGTGTTTGTACAGTAGGGCTACGATGGCTATCCGAGTACAGAACCAGAGTTCGAAACCTATCCAACTGCAGAGAGGTGTAAGACAGGGTGACGTTATATCCCCGAAACTCTTCACCGCTGCATTGGAAGACGTTTTCAAGCTACTGGACTGGAAAGGATACGGTATTAACATCAATGGCGAGTACATCACTCACCTTCGATTTGCCGACGATATAGACCTTATGGCAGAATCGCTGGAGGACCTAAGCACTATGCTCAATGACCTCAATGGTGTCTCCCAACGGATAGGTCTTAAGATGAACATGGACAAAACAAAGATCATGTTTAATGTCCATGTCACACCTATGCCGGTAGTTGTTGGGAGCACTATGCTCGAAGTTGTTGACGAGTATATTTACCTGGGACAAATAGTCCGACTAGGTAAGTCCAACTTCGACCGAGTGGTCAATCGACGGATTCAACTCGGCTGGGCAGCGTTCGGGAAATTACGACATATCTTCTCGTCAGGTATACCTCAATCTCTAAAAACTAGATTGTACAACCAGTGCGTGTTGCCAGTGATGACTTACGGATCTGAGACGTGGTCCTTCGCTGCTGGCCGTATGAGGACGCTCAAGGTCGCTCAGCGAGCTATGGAGAGGGCTATGCTATGTGATAGACTCAGAAATAAGGATATCCGCAGTAAAACCAGAGTGACCGACATAGCCCAACGGATTAGTAAGCTGAAGTGGCAATGGGCCGGCCATATAGCTCGAAGAACCGATAACCGATGGGGAAGAAAGGTTCTCAAGTGGCAGCCTCGTACCGGTAGGCGTAGTGTAGGGCGAACCCCCACTAGATGGAGTGACGCCCTGGTAAGATATGCAGGAAGTCGATGGATGCAGGTGGCTCAGGACCGTGCTTTGTGGCATTACTTGGGGGAGGCCTATGTTCAGCAGTGGACTTGTGAAGGGCTGTAATGATGATGAATACAGTCCACTTGATTGTTCGCATCGCCATACCTTTGGTCACTTTTCGCGCACCTAGGCTATATAGAAATTATTTATTCCTTTCAGTATGTTTGGCTCTGTTTTTCAAATTAAAAAGGTACCTATATAAAAACACTAACTTATTGGCCCGTATGTCTGTCTATTAAGGCCCCTTTTTCAAGAAGGGGTGGAGTATCAAGCGAAAATAAATATAAATATGCTAGTCTACAGTCCCTTGATGATGTAGTAATAAATTTAAGCTTCTATGTCAACGCAATCGAAAAATACGGATCTTTAATTGACATGTTCGCGACTTTTCCTACTATCGCTGATATTTACTTGATTTATGTTTCTATAGTTTTTGACAAATTTAATAGAAGTTATAATTAATAACCTAGTGTCTCAATTATTATTTATTTTAATAAGTACTTTCGTATTATTGATGATTCATAATAATAATTAATTTTAATGTAAAAATGTCATCATTACAGCCTTTGCCTATTGCCTCATAGACATGTCAACTCTATGAGGCATGGATATGGCGTATATATATATATATATATATATATATATATATATATCAATATGCCATAGCCTAGTACGCTTTGCAGGCGGGTTGGCAATCACAGTTTTTATAATTATTTAGAGTCCTTAACATGATAACGCTGAACAGGCGATGAAGGAAAATGAATTAGAAAATGGTCAATCTCCAAATCAATTTGCCTCTATCGCCTTTGACACCCACGGGATTATAATATGTTGTGGTGTATTATCTTACGCCGTTACTACACGGCAAGCGCATTTAGACACTTTCAACATTCAAAGTGGCTTTTGTATAGCAGACATTTTTATTAATAACAAACTCGAAGATTTTTTTATATCTCGATTACTACCATTTCTTTAATTTCGGCTTGGTTTTAAAATGGAAATAATTATCTGCCATCAAAAAAGGGGATAATCCCGTAAAATAGTATTATGTTTACTATAATAATCTTCTTTATGCTATTCTCAGATAAGCTATTGTCAAAATCTGCCAAAAGATCGCAATGTAACGCATCAGCATTTTATTTTGAAGAAATAAGTAGTGAGTGAATAGAATTTGTCAGTTAAGGGGGTTTTGTTACATATCTATACTTATATACTACATATATTTATACGTAGTAGAGCCATGCTGTAGTTATATTAGTAGTATAGTTGTAGCACGAATGGGTCGGCTCGACCGGGGAAGGACCACGCTCTCACAGAATACCAGCGTCAAATAGTAGCTTAATGCTGCTGTGTTTCGTATGGTGAGCGTAGAGAGTCGGAGACCCTTTTTACTAGAAACGAGACATTCCATCTTGGTCCTCACGGGTGACAACGCATCTGCATTTTGATTCGTAATCGAGGATAGATGTAGATGTCTGTGGGCCACAGCAACCACTTACCATCAGGTGCACTGTGTGCTTGTTTGTCACCCTATCCTATAAAAAAACCCCTTGTCTAAATTAAAAATCATTGTCTATGGACAGTGTCTATACCATGAAGGTTAGACATAGACAGAGAAACCTATAGACAAATTGACGCCTTCTTTCGCATTCGCATACGAAAAAGATAGATTTATGCATACGTCTTGCATAGAAATGTTATAGAGCGGTGTGATTGTTTGTCCCTTTCTCCGTGCCGGTTTTTTTTGTTTAGCAAACTCTACAGTTTGCTACTTTAACAGCGTAGTGATTTAAGGAGTTTACAAGTTGATTTAAGTGAGAAAAAAGTGTTTTGTGAGCTTAAGATTGGTGAATTTTGTTCAGTTCAGTTCTTAGAACAATTAAAATTTTTATCTAAATGTGTTTAAAAGTCATAAAGATTATTGTATAACCTAAAAATTCGTTATCGTCCTTTCTCACTCGAGGCCACGCCGATCATTAGTCTATAGTTTTCTCTGTCTACGAGGTTAGAGAACAGGAGAACGATCACTATAAAGCATCATTTGTACTAAAGCATAGCCCACCTGTCCTTGAAAATAATTGTAGAATACATAGCGTCGTTGACGTCGGTGAGTAGTGACTGCGAAATAAGCTGTTTATGAGTACAAGTAGGTGAAGTTAGTTGAATAATGTACAAATTTTCATTTCACTTTTTCGTAGAAAATTTTCATGCTCCGTAATTTTGTAATTTTTGACAACAAGAAACATTAAAAAATGGAAAATTTTTTTTATTGTGCGTGGATGTGCACGTGGTTGAGCATCTGATCGGAAAAAATAGACTGAAAATGACTTTTATTGACTGCACTTAGTGATCGCAGCGCCTCACTGATGGTGTCCATATTTTTGGGACACTATTTTCTACGGTGATCGTTCTCCTATTCTCTAACCTTCATGGTTCATAAATACATGACAGGCACCCAATCCAATCCAGGACGGAGTTTTGCCGGGAACATGATCCTCGATGAATTGCTGCTCTTGTTTTATCATTTTAATAATGATGCGAAGAAGACTTTGATACGTGAAAGTGATGAGACCTTGTACATAAATGTCTGCGCATGTGAACTATTAGAAGAAACGACGAAACAATTTCTTCAATGTTGATATAAAACTTTAGTTATTTTGATCGCTTAGGCATCATAAAAACTTAACTGACTGTCGTCATCGACTGTCCGCTGGGTTGAGCTGTCGCCATATTCTCCCAAAAAATTTGCAATATGACGCATCAGCATATTGTGAAGAAAAAGTCTATAAAAATGAAGATCCCGAATGAATTGAAGATATGCTAAAAGAACAAGCATCCGAGCTAAAATTTTTAATAAAAAAAACAATCATAGAGATCTGTCAATTGTTCAGTAAGGGGATGAGGTTATATTTCCTAAATCTTTTATTATCTAAACAAGTGAAATGTTTTAAAGAATAATATCACACGTAAATATTTATAACTTTTTTCATGAAAATGTCTCTGATACGAGCAGGTTTAAAGAGGCTTGTGAACATTTTCAGTAGTGGACATGGTAAACTAAATCTTGTGTTTTTAGCTATTTATTTTTGTTTCAGTCGAATTTATAATGATTATTTATTCTTATTCAGGAGGTGTTTTATCGAGATTCATCACAAACATTGCTCCATCTCAGCAACAATTAGTTGTTGAAACACAAAAGAAAGTAATTGCAACTTGTAATAGATTAATAGAAGAAAAACCGTCACGTAACTTCGCAATCGTACATCTTTTGGGCAAACAATGGCGTGTTACCGACGGAGATCTGCTTGTAGTTGAAGGTTACTGGCCACCAAACATCGGAGATAAAATAAAACTAGACAAAGTATTACTAGCAGCCACTAAAGATTTTTCACTCATCGGCCGGCCACTGGTCCAACCTGGTTTAGTGACAGTCACAGCAACAGTAATTTCGAAGGGCTTATCACACACACGCACACATTTCAAGAAGAAACGGAGGAAGCAATTCATGCGCATAAACTTCCAAAGAGCACAACAAACAATGTTAAGGATAAACTCTGTTGAAATTGCAAATAAGATTAATGAAGACTCAAGGAATGTATTCTAGTTATATATATATATATATATTTTTATTATTTTATTTTTTTATATGTTAAATAAGTTTAATTGTAGATAATAAAACAAAAGCTTTGGTTTTATGTTATTTTATTTTACCATATATAAGTTAAAATTAATAAATAACTTCACCATAATTTAATAAAATTTATTTTTTATCTGTAAAGACCTATTTTACTAAAAACTTATTTCCTAATGGTTTTTATGCCTGAGTAATATTTTAAAATGTTAAATAATTTAAATGAATAGTTTTCATAAAATAAATTACACTTATTTCTAATATAATTTTTCTAGTTAAAAATCTTTCATTTAAATGAAATATTCTGGTATTAACTATTTAACTGCACATTATCACAGTATTCCTGAAATATATTTTTATGTTCCTCTTTAAGAAATCGTTTCATACCTTTGAACAGATAAAATAACTTTCTGGTTTCAAGTAAATCAGATAATGTTTTCAATAATTTTACATAGTCGCCTTCTTTTTTATATGCAGATATAGATGACTGAAAGTTTTTATATTGGTCTGTATCTAAAAGCACTTTTATCTCCTTGACAAAATCGATTAGAGATTCAGGGGCCACTTTCTCTGTATTACTGGTACTTATGGTGCTACTCTTGTGAAGGTTTTCATCAAAACCAAATGCCTTTATTTTTAACTTCTTTTTTCTAGTAACAGTACTAACATTGATTTCATCAGCATTTCTTTTATGTATAGATACCAGAGATTGTGATGTTTGTTGTATAGAATCACTACTACTATCTAGAGCATTGAAAAGATCTCTAGTTTCTTTTGGCCTAAATTCATTTAGATATGATGATGCTTGAGCATTTTTGTAAAAATCCATAGAAAAATCGGCATACACTTCATTAGAGTTTGGATATTCATTCACTGACTTTTTATTTGTATTCTTATTTATAGTTCTTGTGTTTGCAGATGGAAACGAAACACCTTTGGTCATTGCTATATTGTTATCCTTGTAATTTATATTAGACTCATGTGGATATAGTGGCTTTAATCTTGGAGCAGGCAAAGAAGATTCAGCATTTTTAAAGAATCTACAGATTTCACTTACAGTTTCACCAAATTTATTTGATAGGTTAATGTAATCTCTAAGCCATGCAGACAGTTGGTTTTTTAATTTGGGACTATTAAATCTACTGTCACATAGTAAAATGGCACCATAGTCATTTTGATGTCTAATTACTCTTCCAATTGCTTGATTGACTGCTCTTGTTGCTTCTAAAGCATACCATTCATCACCAGATAAGTACTCTTTATCTTTGATTCTAAGTTCTTCTAAATATTTCTTTTTTAGAATAATCCGTGGATCCTTTAATGGTGGAAAGGGTAGTCCAGTAATAATAACAGCTCTCCCATTCATATCTGCAAAGTCTAAACCTTCTGATACTTTCCCTCTGCATACTGCCATGAAACAAGCACCTTTTGTATTGGGATCACTTATTTTACTGTAGTAATCATTTATAATTGCATTAAAAGTATCTTTACGTTGAGGTTCAACAAATATTTGTTTTATGTTGTTTATACTTGACCAAATACCTTCATTTTGCCACATCTCTTGACATTTTGACATAATTGGATAAGAGGGAAAGAAAACTAACAGCCCATCAGGAACTACCCTGCTAAAACTCAAAATTGTTCTACCCAAAGAAGTAATGTACTTAGGATTGTCTCTATTTTGATAGCTTGAGTTTAAAGGGGTGGAATCAGGACCTTGACTAATTATTTTAACACATATCTGATTAGATTTTATAATATGAGGATTCTCTAACTGTACTCCGATTGGTATACCTAATTCAGACATAAGGGGTTTTAAAGGAGCGAGTGTGCCACTGGTTAAAATTATGCTTCTGACATTTTGCTCTAGTAACTGCTTCATACCAAAACCAGGACTAAAGCACCAGTAACTGAGAACCCTTTCACTGGACTTAGCACTGGTCACTTTTAAAGCACCCCAACTATCGGATTTCTTAGTTTTTTTATCATCTATATGAATGTGTACTTTGTAGCATAATTTTACACGCTCTTTATAGGCATGTGTAGTGCCACTAAACACAACATTCAACAAATCCACAATTTTCTGCAATCCCACCCCTTTACGTTGGAATGGAGATGCACTGGCTGTAGACAGATATTGAATAAGATTCTCTATCATAGTGATGACAGCCATTTGATTGTGATCTTTAATCTCAGCTTTTGAAAGTAGTTCAAAAATAAAACCACCGGGGTAAGTCATCCCCTCGTTGCCTACATCAATTTCATCAATAGCTTTCTCTAGAGCCAACATCATTTCTTTCAATACACATAAATCGTCACATGTGAAGTCTTTAGGCTGATTGTTGTCAATAGTTGCATCCATTTCTTCACTGTTTTCGCTAAATGACTTCATGACATGTGTTATTTCATCTATACACAAAGCAACATCTGTAGTACGAATTTGTAATGAAGCAGATTCTTCACACATTTTTTCCACATTATGTGCTTCATCTAAAATAACAATGTTATTCATCAATTCCACTCCATTCGCTTTTCTTGATTTTGGATCCAATATATAGTTGTATGGCATAAAAATTATGTCTGCATCTTGCTTCAGCTCTTTTGACAAATAGTAAGGGCAACATTTTAATTTTTTACCGACACTAACCAAATCTTCAATGTCCAAGATTTCTTCACCCTTTACAGACCTATCTTCTTTCTTAGACTCGACATTGTTATAAAAAAAACATGTTCTTGATTTGACCCTCAGTTGACACATGTGCACTTTATTCATATTATTGGTCTCTTTAGAAACTTCCGGGTGAATGCACATTTGATCTCTTGAACCTAATACTGCTGCTTTCACATGCCGGTAACTAGATCGTTTTAACTCCTGCATTGCTTGTGTAAGTTGTGAATGTGTTCGTGATGAATAAATAATTTTTGGCATACCCCATGATGTGTTGTCTTTTGCTTTTCCAGTACCAGTTTTTAAATTTTCTCTCAAGGTATTACTAAAACCGGCACCACTATGCTCCGAAAAATTTCCTACTTGTGCGTTCATTTGCAACTGCGCTTTCTTTACCAACAACCATGCCAGTGAGGAGCAGAGTAAACATAGAGTCTTTCCAGTTCCAGTCGGTGACTCAAGTAAGGCGTTGCTGTTGTTTTGCAAGCATTCAATTACTTTTTCCATGTATGCTTTTTGTACATCATAGGGTTCAAAGGGAAAACTAACAGGTATACCACATATCATTACCTCGGGCATCGTTATTTTTGGTAGTCAAGTTGCAAGAATACTTTTTTTCTTTAAAACTTATTAAAATGTTATAATATTTTATAAAAAGTACTATGTGGTCTATGTGCTAAAAACAAACACAAACTAACTAGTAACTAGAAACATGATGATAAAGTAAAGCCCGCCAAAATAATATTTTTTTAGTCAGCTGACATTGACACTGTCGTTGTTGTTTTTATTATTCCCTCGAGGCAGGCAAAGGAACTAAGCCATACAGCCTTGTCTTTTTTTTAAAATTTAATATATAGAATTTTGAGGTGTGAAGGCTGGAACCAAGTCTTATTTTTCTTTTTTCCACCTCTTCAAAATCATTAAGGCCGAAGCCAAGTCTTATTTTCTTTAATTCTTCATATTTTCAAAAACCATAAAGGTTAAAGGCAAGTCTTCTTTATATTATAATCTTTATAAGTTTCAGGCCATATAGATTTATCAGTCCAGTTTCAAGGTTCCGGCGCTTTTTTTTTCTTTTTTTCACAATATGCTGATGCGTCACATTGCGAAGCCCTTGGGAGATTTTGACGACAACTCATCCCAGCGGACAGTTGATGACGACAGCCACTCAAGTTCATAAGACGCCCAAGCGATCAAAATAACTTGAGGTTTATATCGACATCAAAGCACTTGTTTCGTCGTTTTCTCTAATAGTTCACATGCACAGACAATTAATTCACAAAATAACATCACTTTTACGTATTAAAATCCACTTGAAACCATTATTCAAGCGACAAAACAGGAGCGACAATCCGTCGTCGGTTCGGTTCGTTCGGTCGTTCGGAAGTTCCCACCAAAACCATGACATTGACACTGTCACTGACAGATAAGCCTCATTTACATTCAGCCCCTGTCATTGCTCCTCGCGCTGCCGGCAATACTTCGCTAAATACTGCCGTAGCAGGATCGCGGAAATGGGAAATGTATTTACACTCTGCCCTACAACTCACATCACTTTCGGCTTTCGATTATGGCAGATGTCAAAATAATTACAGCGTCCGCGCTGTGTCTTCTTGCAATACAAAATTATGTTAATAATTTAAAAAGATATCAAATTCAAAAGAAGATAGATAGATAGATAGAAAATTTATTTGCTTAAAAACATGGTACATAAGATGATCAATGACGTGGAACTGACATGTTTTGCCATAATTGGCATGCAAAAATGATATGAAATACAGCTATTTACACAAACCCAATGTTACATTTTAAAATTATTACTTTTAATGGTACAAACATTCTTTTTGAATTCAAATATTATGTACAAATAAATACTTACTACTCTGTTATGTATGTATATGTATACTACTCTGTTTGAATTCTTGTACAGTAAATCGTTCATAAATTATTAATTGAATTATTACATTATTGTTACATAAATAATATTAAATATTATATGAGATTAGTTAAGCTATTATTATTTTAATAATTACACTACAGTATAAATTAATTCATAATTTTAATTACAATAAAATTATAATTTAAAAATCTCAGGCTATTAATTAATTCAATGTTAATTAATTCTTTAAACTAAATTTTATATTAATATAATAAATTTGACGAAATTATAATTAATTATGTACATAGGTACTATGTTATCTCAAAAAGAAAATTCGTATTCGTAGAAGATGATGAATTGTGGTTTTTATCGTTGAAATCCCATATAGTTTTTTCTGATTCCAGCAGTTCTAAAAACTTTATTGTATTTTCATTATCCCACTCGAAAGGCCTTTTTGGTAGATCGTACTTATTTAATAACAAGACGGCACGCACGTCCGTTCATTCAGGTGCTTGGCGCGAAGTGAGCGATGGAGCTGAATGTGAACACTCACTGCCGCTCGCGCTGCCCGTCCTTTGACTTCCGCACGAAAAACCGACATTTGAGGGATCATCGGGCAGTGGCAGCGGCAGCGGCAGTGTCAGCGCGAGTAGCCTGTTTACATACTGCCCTGCCCACTGCCCTGCTCACTTCCCTGCCCAACAGGGCTGAATGTAAATGGGGCAATAGGGTGATAGGCTGACCTTTTTCTTTGGTGATGGACTTGGGTGGGTTGCGCTTTTACCAATATCAAGTATTACGAAATAGTAATAATTATATAAATGTTTTATAACTTCTTTACAATATCCTAATGCATAAACACTCAGAACTCCCTAAAAACTTGCAATCACATTGCAGTTTTTTTGGAGTTATAAGTTAATATATAATAGTTTATATATAAGTTGCTTGTTTGTCACCCTAACTTATTTTTCTATATATACAACGTGTCCCAAAATTCAACGATAAGTCAACACCGGAGGATAGACCTGCCCCGGACTAATCGGGGATAAAAAGAAAAAAAATATATCCCCATTATATTTTAATTTATATAAAAAAATGAAATTCTTCAGAAATTGAGACCGTTTATGATATTTTTCACTACCATGACTACAATTTTTTTAATATTTGTTTCTTTTTTTTATAGGCAACCTGAGTAGCACTGCTATCTACCACAATTCTTAAAAAATCCAGAATTACTCTTGTTTTATCACGAAAATTAATGAAACTTTTTTTATTCCCTAAATTTTTTGAAGACTTTTAGTTTTAACCAAATTTAACTTATAGTGGTGTAAAAAAAAGTATGAACACTAGTATTGCAAGTATTTTTAAAAATTGACGCAACTAACCAACATTCCAAAATGGTATAATACCCTAGGAAAACAAGTTATAAAAAAATATGGGTCTATTATTTCTTAACAGGGGCCAAATTCCTTAAATTGTAATTGTCAGTAATCACTTTTACTACATGCCCAAAATGGGTTCTTGTTACAATTTCTAGGAATTTTAATGGGGCATAAATACCTTAGATGTTAGAGAGAGATAGATAGATAGAGATATTTACGTTAAAAAGAGACAACAGGGCAGGTAGAGAAGCTGTTATTATTCTCAGCAAGTCAGTTCAGTACGCTCTGCTCCTTTGTTTACTGCGCACCGTTCCCATTCAACTTACGTGGCTCTCGTACATACTATCGACTTTTGGTTTGGCTTTTTGGACTGGAATCGAGCAAACTTAACTGGCCTGACAATCGAATCTTTTCAGCTCGATTACGTAACCGCTTTCAGTGCCTAGAAGATTGCAATGCAGTGGACGATATGAATGACAAGCTCGTGGAAGCTGCCCGTGCGGTCGGAACTAAGTTCTGCAAGACCCGCCGCAGAAGAACACAAAAACTCTTCGATCACACTCTTAATCTCATGGCTGTTAGACGGGAGATGAGGCTGCAATCGTCAACAGATTTGACAGCATACAGGCAACTGAACAGACAGATCTCCAAATGCATGCGGCGAGACTTACGCAACTTTAATACTGCTCGTATTAAAAAAGCGATCGAGTGGAACCAGGGTTCCAAAGTCTTTGCCAGAGATCTGTCTGCCAGAAAGAGCCAACTGTCAAAGCTGAAGACTGAGTGTGGCAGCATCGTTTCCGAAACACCTGAGATTTTGAGAGAGATTGAGAGGTTCTATGGGCAGCTGTACACATCATGGTTGGAGCCACACGCAAGTGTGAGTAACGATCCAAGAGCAAGTCTTACCCGACACTATTCCGATGATATCCCGGACGTCAGTCTAAGCGAGATTAGAATGGCTCTCCAGCACCTTAAAAACGGCAGGGCCCCAGGCGAGGATGGAATTACAGCGGAGCTTCTGAAAGCGGGTGGAACACCGGTACTTGAAGTCCTTCAGAAGCTCTTCAATACCGTCCTCCATGGTGGCACTGGAGCAGAATTGCGGTGGTCTTGTTCTTTAAGAAAGGCGACAACGCTCTCTTGAAGAACTACACACCGATTTCCCTTCTGATCCGCGTCTACGTGCTGTTTTCGAGAGTCATTACGAATCGTCTCGCACGCAGACTCGACGACTTCCAGCCTCGCGAACAAGCCGGTTTCCGAAAACGCTTCAGTACCATAGACCACATATATACCCTGCGGCAGATTGTACAGAAGACCGAGAAGTACAATCTGCCACTTTGCCTGGCGTATGTGGACTATGAGAAAGCCTTTGATTCCGTCGAAATTTGGGCGGTGCTTCAGTCCCTTCAGCGGTGCCAAGTTGACTGTCGGTATATTGAAGTGCTGAATTGTTTGTACAGTAAGGCTACGATGGCTATCCGAGTACAGAACCAGAGCTCGAAACCTATTCAACTGCAGAGAGGTGTAAGACAGGGTGACGTTATATCCCCGAAACTCTTCACCGCTGCATTGGAAGACGTTTTCAAGCTACTGGACTGGAAATGATACGGTATTAACATCAATGGCGAGTACATCACTCACCTTAGATTTGCCGACGATATAGTCCTTATGGCAGAATCGCTGGAGGACTTAAGCACTATGCTCAATGACCTCAATAGTGCCACCCAACGGATAGGTCTTAAGATGAACATGGACAAAACAAAGATCATGTTTAATGTCCATGTCACACCTATGCCGGTAGTTATTGGGAGCACTATGCTCGAAGTTGTTGACGAGTACGTTTACCTGGGACAAATAGTCCGACTAGGTAAGTCCAACTTCGACCGAGTGGTCAATCGACGGATTCAACTCGGCTGGGCAGCGTTCGGGAAATTACGACATATCTTCTCGTCAGGTATACCTCAATCTCTAAAAACTAGATTGTACAACCAGTGCGTGTTGCCAGTGATGACTTACGGATCTGAGACGTGGTCCTTCGCTGCTGGCCGTATGAGGACGCTCAAGGTCGCTCAGCGAGCTATGGAGAGGGCTATGCTATGTGATAGACTCAGAAATGAGGATATCCGCAGTAAAACCAGAATGACCGACATAGCCCAACGGATTAGTAAGCTGAAGTGGCAATGGGCCGGCCATATACATAGCTCGAAGAACCGATAACCGATGGGGAAGAAAGGTTCTCGAGTGGCAGCCTCGTACCGGTAGGCGTAGTGTAGGGCGACCCCCCACTAGACGGAGTGACGACCTGGTAAGAC